GGTGGGCGCGGAGCTGGAGGGGTTTGTGCGTTGGATCTGAAGAGGGGTGTGCGGGTTGTGGAGACCCGCCGAGAGGGTACGCGCAGTCGGGGCAGAAAAGGCAGGTTGTAGGGCTGGGCGAGGAGGGTCCCAGGAGAGCAGAGGCGATGGTAGGGCTGGGCTTTGGGATGCGCAGCCGCAGAGGAAGAAGCTAAGGCGGGGGTGGGAGGGGGAGAGCACAGGGAGCGGGGGGACCCTTACCAGGGCATGCAGTTGTCGGCCGCTCTGAGACGAAACGGGGAGCGGAAAGGGTTGGGCTGTGGGGGGCTGGTGCCCCCTCCGGCGGCCACTGCCATGGTCTGTTCGTCCATCACACAGCCGTACTCGCTGCTCTCGGTGAAGAAGGCGGGCACTCGGAGGGACTGGGGTGGGGGCCGGGCCTCAGACACTCAGAGAGGCTCCTGCCCCCAGGGACCTCCCCAGCGGCAAGGGTAGTGGACTGGGTTGCACACTGAGGCCCCCGAAAGGCCGGGATGGAGGAGAGGTGCGGGGCAGACACAGGGAGGGGCAAGAGGCAGCCGCCCCCCGCCCCCCCCCATTAAGTGGAACAGATGCTGGAGAAGTGGAGACTTTCAGGAAAGGAGGAGGGACTGGGCAGGAGGTGAGAGAAGTTCCCTTTTGCCCCTTTGCCCACCTGTAAGCGGGGCAGCGAGCTCAGCCAAGTATCTTTGAGACCAAAGCCCGAGTTAAATCCTGTGGACCGAGGGAGAGCAGGGAGAAGCTGGCTGCCATGTCTCCCTCCTCCCTCCCACGCGCACTCCTACCCCGGGTTCTTACCAATAACCAAGTCGGGCTTGGGCCCCTGGAGCAGGTGGTAGGGCCGAGCAGACACTTTGATCTGCAGGTCCCTCCGGCCCCCCTTCTCCTTAGTTCCAGAGCTGAGCCGAGCTGACACCCCGGAACCAGGACGGACGGAGACTTCAGGGCCATCCTGGGGGGCCAGGAGTGGGGTGCAGAAACCACTGGAAGTTAGGGTGCTGGAGGATGCATCAGGCAAGACCAAGGAGAGGGGAGGAGGGAGCAGAAGGGTGAGGCTGAATGAGGAGGACAGTAGGAGGGCGAGGGACGAAGGGCAGGAAACCCCTTAGCCCTCACCCTCTGCAGGGTAAAATGCTGCTGGTCACTCTCGGGGGGCAGGCCATCACCCACAAACTGTAGTTCCAGGGCCACGTGGGGGAGCAAGACCAAGAGCTCCTAAAGGACAGAAAGGCAGATCGAGGTCCCACCCTGCATCCACTTTGCCACCCAAATGCCCAACCTTCAGGCCTGGAGGGACTTACCCAGAACACCATGACAAGGTCAAACTCCTTCCCAGCCTCCACCACGTGGATTTTCAGAGATTGTTTGTTCTGGATGTTGAGCTCGGGGACTGTGTGAGAAGCTGGCCATTTAAGGGTCTGGTCTCCCTCCTCTTCCCTCCTGTCCCCTACCAGCTCCCTGCTGCCCCGCTTGAAGCACTCCTCCCCCTCATCCGCTCTCCTTACAGGACTGGGGCACCAGGTGGGTGATGACATAGTACACAGTCAGCGGGTAGGTGAGCAGCACAGCCATGGGGGAGTCCAAGCTGAGGCCCCGCCATGTGTAGTAATCCTGCCACGAGCCTGGGGAGAGTGGGTTACTGGGGGACCTGGCCCCAGGTCTGGACCCCAATGCCTCCCGTCTAATAGTCCCCCTTATCTCAGCCACCCAGACTGCTGGCTCTCCAGTCACTATCCCTGCCCCTAGTTCCTACAGGGTCCCTCCAGCTCACCAAAGAGGCCCCTGGGTGGATCTGGGGGCACTGGAGGCATCAGGACAGGCCCGTCCCCCTGGAGAAGCTGGTAGGGATCTCCTGAGAGGAGGAGAGAAAGAGGAGGAGCTCAGTGTCAGGGAGACCCCCACCTGGCATGCCTCCCTCTCTCTTCCAAAGGAGCTGTATTACCTGAGGGAGGACCTGGGGGAATGAGGGGAGGGGGTGGCCTCGGGATGGTTTTGGGATGGGGAGGGCAGCAGTGACTTAGAGGGTTGAGGAAGGGACTGAAATGGCCCTGGTCGTAGTGTAGGGTTTGGTGTGTATATGGAGGGGTTATCTGGGACCCAGACAACTGTATTCCCTCCCACCCTTTCTCCCTGAGAGGCCCGTGCCTGAGGAGAGGTCCACGCACCATTGAGAAGAAGGCTGCGGGATGGTGTGCTGCCCCGGGGGTGCCTGGGGGTGCCAGGGCCTGGGATCAGCATGCTGATCTGGGTCCAGTAGCCACGAGTGAGGCCTCGTGAGGCCAGGAAGGCCTCCTTGTTGAAGGTTTCACTGGTCACCTCTGGAGAAGGGGGAGGAGAAGGTTGAGGGCCTGGTGGCTAGGATCCCCCAGACTTTAGCTCTCCTCAGCCTCTCCCAAGGACTCTGGGTCTGAGTCTGGTGCTAGTCAGGGAGAGAACTAACATTTCTGAGTGCCTACAGTGTAGCAGGCATCCAGCCGACAGAATTCCTATAACAATTCGTGGGAACATTTGTTAGTATCCCTATTTTACAGATGAGAAAACGAAGGTGCTAAGACACAGAGTGATTTGCTTAAGGTCACCAGTTAGTGGTGGAGCTGGGTAGCAAGTATTTGAATCGCCAGTTCTAAGTCCCCTAAACTATTTCAGGGCCCCGGGTGCTGAGTCCTTAGTTCCAGAAACTCTGTCTCCAGCCTCAAGGTCTAGTCTTCTGTCCCAAATACCCAGCACCCAGCCCTCATTCCAGGGATCCAGACTTAACCTCCAGGACCCTGTTCCCAGACATCCAGGCCCCAGTCACAAAGGCCCGGTCCCAGTTCCCCCTCCCCAGCCTGACCTCCCTATGGTACCTGCAGTGTAGGTGAAAGGCAGAGTTGCCAGTTCCCCTGTCCGCTCCATGAAGGCTGCAAGCCTCGGGCACCAAAATCTGTGGCTCACATCATCTGGGCATCGCCGCCAGTCGGCCCGGAGACAGGCCTCTCCACAGTACAAGACAGCACTACACTGGGGGCTGGGGTCACAGGGAGTGGTAGGCACCCAGTGTTAAGCTCTGTAAGTCCTTTGTCTGCCATCTGTCTGCCCTGCAGCTGCCCAAACTCAGTCTGTTTGTCTGTATTCTCTCGGCCAGTAACAGCTTGTTTTCTTTCTTTTTTAAAAAATCCTCATCTGAGGATATTTTTCCAATGATTTTTAGAGAGAGTAAAAGGGAGGGGGAGAGACATAGAGAGAGAAACATCGATGTGAGAGAGACACACCACCAGGGCCAGGGATCGAGCCTGCAACCGAGGTACATGCCCTTGACCAGGAATCAAACCCAGGACACTTCAGTCTATCGGCCGACACTCTATCCACTGAGCCAAACTGTCTAGGGCAACAACTTGTTTTCATCACCTAATTTCCTTGTCCCTCACTCTGTCTATAGGGTCCCCCACCGGCCTCTCTGTTTGCCTGACTGTTGGGGTCTTCCTTCCTCTCACTCCATCTTTGCAGGCTGCTCACCAGGGTGTCAGCTTCACTTCAAAGCTGTGCTTGTGACAAACATGGCAGGTTCGAGCCCGAAGGGAGGCAAAGGTGAAGCCTGGCTGGGGACCCCATGTCCGCATTGGGGTCTTGGCTAACTTCACTCCCAGCCTTGGGACCAGACTCTCCAGCTCTCTGAATGGGGGTGAACAGGGGCATCAGGCTGCGTGGTCCAGAAGTCCGGGCCCCCTAGGCCTCCCCACCCGCAGATACCAGGTTTCTGTACCGGTGCAGCTGGGCATCTCCCACAGTAAGCTGCCGGGGCTTTCGAGGGTCTCCAGAGCCCATGGGGCAGGCCATGCTGTGGCAGAGGAGAGCATAGGCCCGAGGAGCCAGGTTCTCTGTCCATGAGCCCTTGCCTGCACTCCTCTGGGCTCCATCCATTAGCAGGTCAATGCCCAAGATGGTGCCATGTTCATCCGTCACCAGTAAGAGGCAGGCAAGGTGCAGGGGGGCAGCATCTGGGGAAGAAAAGTCAGAGGTGGGGGGTAGCAAAGATGATGGGATCAGGGGGAATTAAACTCAAATGCCTACAGGGGGTAGGCAAGTAAACTGAGTGAGTAAAGGGAACCAGGTAGAGAGGATATGCCTTATCTTAAAGGGACAGCAGATACACAGTACCAGCATTTGCTGCCATTCTCCACTTTTTCTTAAGAAGGTGTAACTCCACACTTCCCGGAGTTTGTTTGTTTTTTTAAACAATATTTAAATGTTGGCTCAACTTAAAAAACACCTTCTCAGGCCAGATTGGCCTGAAGCCACCCTTTTGTTTGTGGCTCCTAGCTGGGTTCTGAGTGGTAAGAGGGCTTCAGAGGGGGAGTATGTCTGCACAGGGGATAGGGCAGGGCCAGCCCTGGCTTCTTACCACTTCTTCGCCCCTTCCTCCTCTTAGGCCCAGTTTCGTCTTCTGCCCTCTCGTCTTGACAGCCATTCTCGCCACCTCCTTCCTTCTGCTCGGCCTCCTCTGGCTGCCCTGGAAGATTTGCTTCCTGGGGGGACTCCCTGCTCGTATGGACTGGCTCCCCATCCTCCTCTGGTTCTACCTTCTCTGTGCCTGCACCCTCTTCCTCTCCATTTTCTTCCTCTTCCTCCTCTTCTTCTTCCTCCCCTTCCTCGCCTTCCTCCAAACTGACAAAGCTGACATAGGGGCTTAGGTCTCGAAGGTGGAGTGGGGGCTGATCTCCCAGCAGCCAGCCCGCCCCCAGGCCTGGTCCAGGCTCTGCCCCTTGCCCCAAGCTGATGCCCACACTACGGTTGGGCAAGACATGGAGCACCCAAAGGGCAGGGTCCTGGGGCAGCCTTCTGATCTGCGCCTCCAACTGTCGCCAGCGGCCCTCCAGGCTGGTCTCCACAGCCCCACGCTCTGCCACGAACTTTCGGAACCAGCCAAAGAGGAGGGCAGTGAAATCAAGGAACTCATCTCGATATCCAGACACAAACTCCATGTCTTCCGGGGCACAGGGCCTGGGCGCAGACTAAGCCAGGGAAGGGGTTATACGGTGAGGGAAAGGCTGTGCTGAGAATTTGGGGCTGGGTCACACCATGGGAGATTGGGTTTAAGAGTCACGTAGGGTGAGGTCTGTAGGTGAGTGTTAGGATCTGAGAATAAATCTTTCAAGGCCGAAGATGGGAATCCCGGGATGAGAACGGGAGCTGGACTTGAAAGTGGACCCTTCGGGTTAAAGATGTACTCAGGCGTGAGGTGGTATTTGGGGCTGAAAATGTGAGGCTCCAACCCTCAGAAGCAGGGTTTGGGTTGGGACAGAGATGAGGGAGGGCTTATCCTAGGGGGAAGGGCTTGGCAAGGAGGGGAGAACTTGGGATCCGTCTGTGGGGTGTGGCAGGAGGGAGCAGGCGCAGGAGCATCCCTTCAGTTTGGACCGGGTTGCGGGGAGCCCCCGTAGACCTAGCCTCTCCTGGCCGTTCCGCTCCTCCGGTACCTGCAGCCGCCACCACTTTTCGAAGGTAAATACCTCGGGGTGGGGGCGGCGTGACGTCAGGGTTGGGGAGCCCGTGGCCCGCTCCTCGCGTCTGGGCGCCGTGTGTTCCGGGAGGCCCGCGGGCTTTCCTGTCCTCATCACCCCGGACATGTGACTAAATCCCGCGGAGCCGGGGAAGTGAAAGCATCTTGGGGGCGGTGGCCGGTGAACCTCACTAGTTTCCCAGGTCCCCAGGGCCGACCTGGGCAGGCGAGCGGCGGGCGCGGCTGGCATCCCTCCACCGCGTCGG